ATGTAAGCTATGAATGATTAATTGAAACTTCATATGCAAACGGAGCTTCTTTTTTTCTTCATTTGTCTTTTATTTATTATTATTTATCATATTACTTACTAGAAACTTGAATAATCGGAGTAATAATTTTTTATAGCTATAGCAACCGCTTTCTCAGGATATTTCTTGAGGTCAAACATCCTTTTGAGGGGTAACAATTATTACCAGTTTACTTTCAGCTATCCCCTACTTAGAAACATCTATTGTTCAACGAAGTTGATGAGGATCCGCCGTTGATAATGCGACTCACACGATTTTCCACCTTTCATTTCCTACTTCCAGTTATTGTGACTCCCTTCTTAATTATTCAGTCACTTTTCCTTCGCCAAACAGGGCCTAACAACCACTTAAGCACAATAAGGAACATTGATAAAATTCCGTGTCATCGCAATTTTTCTTTCAAGGATATTACTGGTATATTATCAATATCCTTCGCCTTATATATTAGCAGATCCAGATAACTTCATCCCAGTCATTCCTTTAGCAACCCCAATTCATATGCAGCCTCAATGACATTTTCTTTCTACTTATGCAATTGTACGATCAATTCCTGACAAATTAGGAGTTACCGCTTTAGTAATATTAATCGCAATTATTTAACTTATACCTTTTACTGACCGAAACTAACTTCCATGACGGAGACTCGAGTGAACCTACACGCTAACCACCCAGGCCCTTGACAATAGAATACGTTAAATAGAACAACTCAATGTGAGGGGTAATTATAGCAAATTTTTGACGAAAAGATCAAAGTAAAAAAATAGTAGAATACGAACACTGATCTAAACTGATTTTTCTCCATTTAGTAGTAGTAGTAGTAGTTTTATTCATCCCAAAGATCATATATGATATAGGAAATGTCACAAAGATTTGAGAAAATTTCAAGATAGACAATATACATTATACACGATATATAAGAATATATGACAATTTGAATTCTACAAGAACATTTGGGTACCACATATTAAAATACATTAAGATGACAATCAAAAGTTAAAATTTACCTAAAGCGCCATCGTTTATCAAGCAAGTAAAAGCAATCTTCTGAAAGCGAGTTTTTAACCTCTTATTTGAGTCTTGAAATGAAGTTGCCTGAAACTGGATGGTAGTTTGTTTAACAAAGTTACACTATTATATGCTAAACTTTTTCGAAAAGAGCAGTGTCGTGGTGAAGGACCTGTAAAATATCAATATTTCGAGTAGTGCAATTATGATGGTAGTTTAGTTTTCGGAGCTTATTGATGTTCTTGCAAAAATGAATTAGTATTTAATATTTTCAATATTTTCTTTTGAATTATAACTTTTCTCAAATATTTTGAAGTAGTGCCCCAAACCACTAAACCATAAGATAATGCAGCGTGTATATGTATATGAGCAAAATAGAATGAACGCAGGGTACTATTTTTCAAAGCTAAGTAAGAGCAACATAGTTTAGTGATTTTCTGACTTACATTGTCATCCCATTTGAGACTTTCATTTGAATTGATGTCCAAGGATTTATGACGCTACTCTTACTGAAAACTGTTATGGTTCCTCTCACGGTTTTTGGCGGTTCAAATTAAAATTACAGGAATTGCTTTCTTACATACCCCTGTGTATGAACGTTTGTTTGGTAAGCTCAAAGAGATACGTTTTTTAGTTGCGTGTTTCCGTCTCTAAAACTTTGTTGTTACGTATGAGTCAGAGTGACAACTTACTTGATATCGGCGTGCTATTTTTGAGTTGTTCTGTTATCAGTCTTCAATATAAAATTGTACAATGCCCGGAAATACGATAAATGGAGAAGGCCGACAGCTCGCGGTAAATTTATTAGAGTATTTCCAGGAAAAGAAGGGAAGCAGCGGTCCGCTGTTACCCAGTTCATGCGTCCTGGAGAGAGTAGCAGGTACGCTGAAGATTAGACTGCGCCCATGGTACGGAGAGTCGATCTGTTTACTTACTTCATATGGCGTTGATGACGTAACCGTCAGGAACGGTGACTACAACTATACCTTTCCATTCGATGTTTAGAGTATGATTTTCGTCTTGTTTTTGATGGGAGAAACTTAACATAGCACATTTGTCAGTATTCACCAGCAATTTATTACCGGTAAGCCTTTGACGAAAGGAATCTAGTGATTTTGAACCATTTATTTCAAGTGTAGTTTTTACGTCCTGCATGAAGAGATCATCTGTCAAAATATGTACATTGTACTAACTGGAAGCTACAAGCCCAACTAACAATTATCACTCATATTAGAGTTGCAAGAATGATTATACAGTATTCCTCAAACAGCATTGTATACTGTAAGAACATTGGCAAAACCCTCTTAGAACAGCTATACAAGCGGAATGGGCACACCTAATAGGACACTTCAGTCATTTAAGATGTTGTATAAGGGCTGCAGGTAACAGTTATAAAACAAAAGTGTAAGCCTCTTGCAGCCGCTATAGGACATTTACGTCAGTGCAAGATTCAGTTTTTGTCAACTATACAACTATTCTGTTACGTGATTCTACTTTATTTCAACCAAACTATTTCTTATGTATTGTAAAGACAAAGTGAAGAATATATAACTAACACATTACAGTCACCTTGTTTACTTACATATCGGCCATTGTGAATTTCATACACAGGTATATGATAAACTTCTACACTTTGATATAGGGCTATTGAATTACTTGCGCAGCAAATTTTATTGTGATTATCGTGCAAATTAGTTACCCAATTTCTACGGGTTTCGTATTTGATTCATATTTTGACAATGATCAAAAGTATGTCTAGATTATTAAGATGGAAAACTTAACTTATCTGCGTTAAATCTTCCACAAATCCTATATTTAGACACAATTACACTAATGTTTATCACTTTATATCTGGAATTTCGAACTGAAACATAATTATTTAATATTAAATAGAGGGATAAATCTTTGCCCAATATGGCGGGTGGTTGTGTACAATCATGGCATCGTCCATGTTGTCTTTAGGTTATCAGAATATTTTAGCGTTGCCTGTAGGTGTTATACAGCAATTTGACAAATGCCTGAAATGAAATACCGACAGAGTCGAATGATTTACGCAGAATTTGTACCAGATCTATATCTTCTGTTTGAACAGTTGATAAAACCTTTTGAACCAATATGCATGCGTTGTTTGTCTTAAAACATTGGTTATGGCATTTTAACAAAAATATGACAGCAGAAAGTTAGGTTATGGTGAAGTTGTTTACCAACATATTTAGCATATGTACAGCCTTTAACAGTTACTAAACAACAGTTGTATAAGTGGTTCCGTTGGGAACAATTTGTTGGCTAAAGTAGTAAATTGCACAGCAAAACAACAAGGCTCGAGTTTGTTTTGTAAACATTACCATGGATGCCACAACACAACCATTTTGTCTAACTTGCAAATATGCGGTATAAAATAGTTGAATAAACGTTTATGCAACAGTTAAAAATTTGCCCTATAAGGTGTTGTATAACTATGCTATAAGAATATTTTAAACACCTGATTTTAGAGCAGATATGTTGCAGAAAGCAAATTTGCATTCCACACAACATTAAGCCAGCATTTTAGTGTTCAGGCAACAACAATAGAGAGCTTTTATGGCTGAATGGTTCTTTTACCAAAAGCTTATACCACTACTTTGCTAGTTGGGAGATATTCCAGAGTAACTAAAAAAGCTCTTATTTTTATATTACAATGTTCCTTAACACCTTTTGAAAAGTGAGTGTTCCAGTTGTTCGTAAATCCGCTCACTAACATTTCACGCATTTTTTGGTCAAATGTGGCCGAAGCGGATGCCGAAGCGTGAGTCGGACCCTAATTATAAGTGAGAAGAAACCCCCCGCAAACACAATCAAGTATCCCTTCTGTATGATCTAGGCATCTCTGGTCGCGACGTCATAATCCACGGTTGCTGTCATTCCCCCCTCCTATCTCAACCGCCCCCGGCTATCCACCCCCGCACCCGTAGCCACCCACACTTTGCCAGCACGTCGCCTCGCGTGAGACCTCTTATCGGCGTCGCCGTCAACGGCAGGCAACGTGCGACTTTCGCACGAAAAAAACGACACCGGTGGCGGCAGCAGGCGGATAACGGTGGCGGTGACGACCGGGGGCGGCGAGCCGCCTGTTAGACAGTGGCGGCGTACTGCCTTTTTCACGAGTTTCCATTATTGTACTTGCTAACAACTCTTTCATTCGGAAAAGTTCCTCTGCTTTCAAAATAATAACGCTAAAAGCGACGTTGCTGCTAACGATAAAGCCAGGTAGGAATAAAATAAGAAAGAAGGAAGAAGGAACTGCTTTTGACGTTTTTGTAACGTGCCAAAATCACGTAACATTTTTTATATTATTTTGATCACTTACGAGTAATGTGAATGTCTCTTTATTGATGAATCCTGGGCCAAACCGTTTTCAATGATTTTCTTTTGGCAAATTTCATAATTTATTGATTGTATAATTTCACACATATTATATCTTTCTCTCGCAGCGACTCAGTATTAGCTTTTTTCGCGGAGCTAATCTAGAGCATATTCCGAACACAAATAAAGTACCTCCGATATGTTTCAAATGCGCAAGCGCGTGATGTAATTAATTCGGAATTTAAAATGTCCGCGAACAGCAAAACCTACCAAATTCTTTATGCACAAAAGTAAGGTTAGAGTTTTTCTTTTGATTTTTATTATTTGAATTTAAGTATTTTTTTATCAAGTCCAGCATTTTTTTAAAATGTCTGATAAAGGAGGTAAGTTTTTTTTTAACCCATCAATAAATAAATAATTAAAAAATTACTATTTTGTTAGATCTGTCAGAGTTTCTGGTATTTCCTTCATGTTCTCAAGACCAGGATGAAGTGGAATCTTTTAAATGGAATTACACCAAGACTCTTATTTTTTGGACCTATATAAAAATATAGACTTGGTTGGGTCTTTAAAAATTAAAAAAAATGTATGAAGAAATTGCTAAAATATAACAGGATCAAATTGTGAAAACAGATGGAAACATCTGGAGAGAATGTTCAAGAAATATGTGGACAACAATAATAAAACTGGAAGAGGAAGAAGAGAGTTTGAGTATGCAGAAGCAATGGAAGATATTTTGGATAAAAAACGAAACATTCATCCTGTTGTATTATTCATCCGTACACAGTTATTCATCCAACAACACAGGTGGTTACAGGAGATAATCCTGAAAAGGAAAATCTGGTAGAATTTCCTAAAACCAAGGAGCTACTCAGCACCAGCAGCAAGGCAACTGATGTAACAGCTCCTCAAAGCATTACAAATATGAATAAAAATATAAGGCTTAATTTTATCTGAAATTCGGAAAGATAGAAAAGAATTTTATAACAAGCTTTTGGAAATTGAGGAGAGAAAAGTAACAGAAAAAAAATAAAAATGACATTCTACAGGAAAAAATGAATTAGTGAAACAATATTCAGAAAGATCTAATCCACACCTTGATATCCTTTAAAAGGTTTAATTTTTTTGTTCAAAGAATTTAGATGTTAAGTTTTGAATTACATATTTTAAGAGAATTTTGTTATGTTTTTCTATATTTATTTAGATCAAATTTAAATTATTATAATTTAAGTTTTAAATTGTACAGTGTTTTTATTTTAGTTTGAGAATTTCGTTGTTTTTTTGTTTATTTATTTTTTCATTATTTAGTTAATTAATAAACACTACTTGTTTTAAATTTATTTCAAAAAGCTTTTATTAAAAATACATACACATTACATACTAAATTACAAAATTTAAGCTATTCATTACTTCATTTCTTTTTGTTATCCCAGTTTGTTCATCTTGATTTTCATTTCCTGCATGTCCAACAATTACTTCATTCTGTGCTTCTGGTGCTGGTGGAACTTCAAAATCCTGTAAATTGTCTTCTATTGAAAGGTTGTGGGATACAGCACAGGCCCTTATGAAGTGAACACATAATTCGACATTTCTTAATTTCAAATGGTAAAGTTGTCTGAATTTTTATTTGAGTACCTATGCCGAAGCAGTGCTCAATTAGGTACATATCTATTTTTCGAAATAAGATAATTGTAATTTCTTTGGCGACGAGTCAAATTACCTCTATCTTGAAATGGAGTTAGGCAATATTGTAAACAAGGGTAACCACTGTGTCCAATAATAAAGTGTTTTCCACATTTTTCTTGAAGTGTTCCAAATAATGGTGATGTCCGAAACACTCGACTGTCATGTATGGATCCTGGGTATCCGACAAATATATCCCTTATTTTCCTTTTATGATCGCAAACAACTTGTGCCTGTAAAAAATAAGATATATTATATAAACATTTAAGATATTATCATACTTGAATAACATTTAAATTGAAATTTAAAATTTTTGCTTTCTTACCTGGATCGAAAAAAAGTGCTTCCTGTTAAGGTATAAATCTGGATCATCCTGTGGCTTGTCAATTTCAATGTGTGTACCGTCAATGACGCCAATAATGCCAGGAAATTCGTCTTGCCTAAAGTGGCTTTCAATTTCAATTTTCTCCTCGTTAGTTGGCGATTTTATAAATTCCGCAGACAAATTGGATAAAAAATACGTAAATCCCTCTGTTGATAATTGGGTTGCTACTTCCCTGCTTATCCTAAAATGCCCCTAAAAATGGTGATCGTTGAATTGGGGCACTGTTTCCTCACAAAAGTTCTCATTTTCTGGAAACAATTCGTTCAATTCTTCCAAATCTTCGTCACTTGAACTTAAATGCATCATTCGCATCATCTTGAAAGTAGATAAATGTTTGTTTATATCACAAAGACACAGAATTACAGGTTAGGATTTGTTCTGAATTTTAAATCCCTCCGTCTATCACCGGATCTGTCGAACACATTACGAGCACGTTCAGAACTTAACACAGTTGTACCACGAACAACGAATTTTTAATCCCGAGTAACAAATTTTGTCACCGCGAACGGTATTTTTTTTTTAGTGCGCATGCGATGATAAGATGAAGGCGTCCGGGATTCGCACCGCGAAAAAAGCTATTATGTTGATATTGGACACTAATGTTATAATACAGGGTGCGGCAGAGAGGATGGACGGTTTTAAAAAAATCATACAATAGTTAATTTTTACTCGAAAACAAATTTATTGATGGAATCCTGTTCACAAGGAAATAGCATTTGAGATAGTCAAGTGTGGAAAATCACATCAGGCATGTGGTGGCCGAAATCGTTGATGCAGTGCTGGAGGCGTTCTTGGAAGTTAGCGTAGACTCTCTCCAACATCGCTCTCTCAACTTGGGCGACTTCCACGCGAATTTCGCTCTTCAATTCGTCCAGAGTTCGGGGCTTGTTCGCGTATACTCTAGCATGTTTCCGGGCAGATCGAGTCGGACTGCGAAGAAAGACCTGTCAAACGCGTTCAACATTTTCAGGAGTTCGAATTGTTCGCGGCGCTCCTCTTGGTCTTCTGTTGATCAGTTCACCACGCCTGCGAAGTGATTCAACCCAACGAAGGATGGTGTTTCGAGAGGGAACAGCTCTATTCCGATGAATGTTGAAGCGGCGACGAAACTCACACTGTACGACGATGACTGACTCATTATTTCGGACGAAACAATCATAGGTGAAAACGCGGTGCTCCACCGTCCAAGGCTCCATAACGACAACTGGTAAAATAATGCTAGGATCTCACGAGTCAAACGGCACCCTCCCCACCTCTCTGGTAGACGGAGGCGGAGAGTACTACACATCCCAAAAACACGTCCGTCCTCTCTGCCGCACCCTGTATTTTATTAAAGACCGTCTCAGAAATTTCCTCATAAAATATCGTTAGTCCCTCGTAGAGCTGGTTTTCTAGGGTACCAGCATTGGCAATCAGCGAAGCGCTCTGTAGCTTATCTTAACCTTAATTTTAAAAGTCACGTGTTCTGCGCCATTCGCTTTCCTGTTGAGGTATTGGTGCGAGGATTGTTTGTTCATCTTCCAGATTCTGAGATATTAGTCCCTAAACGTCAAATTATAGAGTAGCATCTTTTCATTTTGTACGTTACGTATAGTTGTTTTGCGTGGGAAGGCAGGCAGCTTTGTTTTGTAGCTGCCTTGTATCTGTTTTGCAGCTGACATTGCTGGAAGCCACCCCTTCCCCTTGAGCAAAAAAAGCAGAAAAGCAACCGAGTGTTTCGCTGATTGCCAATGCGCGTACCCTAAAATTTATCGGAATTCCGATGAGAGACAATCAAAGAAAGTTTGCCTCTGGTAGAGCAAAACAAGCCACACCATATAATTCGATAGGATAGTTTAGTTAAGTAACTAACTACATATAGTTAGTGTTTTAAACAGATTTCTTCATTAAAAATAAAAATCCTATATATGTATATTTTGTAGGAAACTTTTACGACATACGTTAAGAGTCGATTGCTTTACAGGTTACATTTGAAATTAGTTTCGATTTAATTATTATTTGATCAATTATTTCTTAAAGTACTGGCTAAAAATGTCTATACCAACTCCCAAGCAGTGGGAAATATTGATAGACTACTTATTCTTTATTAACCATTTAGATTCACAAGTACACGTGGTAAAAAATATAAATAAGCTACATAATATAAGTAAAATGTATAACAATATAAATAAGAATTAATATAAATATAATAATACATATAAATGTTCAGTTCCATCTTTGCGTATGTACTTAAGGTTGCACAATCCGTAAACTCAGTTATGTCATATGTTTAACCTTTTTAACTTCATTTTTTAATGGAAAATAATTACTGATTTGCTGTATTTTAACTGGTAATTTATTGCATGATTTGATGCGGTTATAGTAGGGTGATTTTTTAAATGTGCTGTGGTATATGTATGGATGATTTTTAAATTTTGATTTCTAGTGATTATGATGCCTATGAACATTTGGGAACAGGCTATTATATTTCTTGACATTTCAATGTCACAATGTAAATACAATGCAAAGTAAAAATTTCTCGTAATTTAAAAATTAATCTGCGGGAGTCAAGTGACTTCATTCCAAAAATTGTTCTGACCATTCTTTTTTGGGGAACAAATACTCTCAATTTCGGAAGATTTCCCCGATGTTATAAGAGCTTTTTAATTAAGGACATTTTTCAGTGGTGAAATGGCAAAATATGTTGTACGGCCCTGCCACGGAAACTCGTGATCACTGATATCAAAAAGTAACTCTATCAGTTATAACAGATACTCAAAAATAGCAATATTCCCTCGCCCCCGCACCTTTTGTACCCTTCTATTCACTGGACAGGAGCGCAATGAGAGCGCGATTTGAGGTTAGGAACAACTTGAAATTCAAACTGACAATTATTCTCTTTGGATCGGACAAATGATGACAACAAAATATTTGCTTTTGAGGCATCTGCCTAGATGAGGAAGATTCCACCATGAAGACATATATTCCACTGTTAGGCCGACGATATTTAATTTATTTAACACAACATGCATGGCGATCGATTTATGGCCCCCCACTAAGCACTTAGCTCCTGGCAAATAGCCCCACTGTATCTACGGGTATTTAGGTCTTAGGCCTAGCTGGTGACTCTAGTATAAAAAAATGAGGTTTGGATAGGGTTAGGTGCCGTTATCCTGATTTCTTCCTCAAATTGAAGATTCATACAGGTAAACGGAAAGCTATGAAGCGCGACTGCACGGCAGCAGGCAGTAGCAGCAGCTCTCGTTGGGTTGGCGTTCGCTCGTGCCACGCCACGACCCTCATTAATTCCGGACGACGGCGCGCCACGGCGCCGTCATACCCCCTCCCCTCCCCATCCCTCTTTTTACCACCCACTAGGTCTCACACTGCAACCCCGCATTGCAGGGGCGGGCGCGGGCAGAATTCACAGAAAAAGCACTTTCTTTTTAATATTATCAAAAATACGTAAATATCTTTAATTGTGAAAAATGTCGTCAAGTAGGTTGACTCTGATTCCTACGCATCGCCGTCATCAGTTCATGAAGGATTAATTAAGTTCAGCATAAGCTGGATCCTTTGAGATAAAGCATAGTTAGGAATATGATAATAGATTGAAACAATTGAGCAGATCAAGTCAGTGAAACGGGCACATACAATTAGTCCATAGACATTCTTTCCCCACCCTACCGATAGTTACCGTCCATCTGGCAACGTAATTAAATAGATCAAATAAATCAAACATGCCCATTCAATAAGTTCCTAGTTCTTAATTGGAGAAAAATAAACTCACTACTAGAAAATACTTCTAGAAAATTATCCAACAAACAGCAGTCCGTTAATGTATCACAATTTTCCAGTAACGAAATGTTTATAAAATGTGGCGTCCCATAGGGAATCGTTTTAAGTCTGCTTTTTAATATAAATTTAAACGATATATTTCAAATCGATTCTGTGGACAAAATAGTAAGTTTCGCAGATGACATGGCAGTTCTTTATACAGGGTTATCCAAATTAAGTGTCCACCATTGGTAACTTTGTTATTAGTAAAAATACAAAGTTGTTTAAATTAGCAAACTAGTAGCATTTTTAACGCTGGTAAAAATGAGAAATAAAAAAAAACAATTGAGAGTCGTTATTTTGATTTTTTTCAGTAAAATAACATTTTTTTAAATGCAAACCCCTGTATATTATATTTGTTTCTGTTAAAGCATCAAATTTTAAACAAAAAAGTTCATAATGACTTTTCCGCTAAAGTCAAAAATAAAGTCAAAATAACGATAAATATTTTTAATTATTTGCAGTATTATAATATTAAGACGGCTATGAAAACAACATGGCGTTCGCGATTTGACAGCATTAAGATAAGCGACAAATTGTTAAACTGGACATACTCGCAACTAGAAGGCTTTGGAAAACAATGATAAAATCAAATAATGTCAAACATTAGTGTAAATACTTGTTTATAAGCTTTATTGTGTCATTAATTTAAAGAAAAATGTTCTCCCATGAAGAAAAGTGTGATATGTTAGAATGCTATTTAGTGTGCAGAAAATCCTCCTTGAGAGCAAGAGAATACTACAGTGAATTATATCCCGCTCGCATTCAACCGTATGAACGATATTTTCTGAGACTTTATCGAAAATTTAGGGGCAACGAAAATGTTTTTGCTAAAACAAGGGCAAAAAAAGAATTCATAATAAGCGAGGCCACGGAAATTGCAGTTATTGGATATCTTGAAGCTTATCGTGAGAATTCAATAGCAGATATTCTCAAGGACTCTAATTTCAGTTATGGTACTGTTCAAAGGATTTTAAAAAAATACAAATTTATTCCGTATAAGATAGATGGTAGGACCATACTTAAGACAGTTCGAGCAGTTGAAAAACGTGCCCAAAAATGTATTGAAGAACAAGGTGGTGTTTTCGAGCATCTTCTTTAAAAAAAATTGTTATTGTATTTTGTAAGATTATAAGTTGATGTTGAAAATAAAGTTTGTCGATACAATTTAATTGTTTCAGATTGGAGGCCATAACTTCAACAATTTGTAACCTAGGAGAAAAGTTATTGTAAGCTTTTTTGTTTAAAATTTGATGCTTTAACAGAAAAAAATATAATATACAGGGGTTTCCATTTAAAAAAATGTTATTTTACTGAAAAAAATCAAAATAACGACTCTCAATTGTTTTTTTTTATTTCTCATTTTTACCAGCGTTAAAAATGCTACTAGTTTGCTAATTCAAACAACTTTGTATTTTTACTAATAACAAAGTTACTAATGGTGGACACTTAATTTGGATAACCCTGTAGAGATGATGATTGGTCTCATTTAAATGGCATAGTTGAAAAGGATTTTGTCAGAATTATCCGGTGGCTTTATAACAGAAAATTGAGCATTGAGTTCTCTACCATCATTACTATTTTTTCCTGTTCTGAACATCTACCAAATTACACAAACATCTCCTTTAACATAAATAATCGGAAATAAAATACCTTGGAATATTCCTGGATCCACACTTGTGACAAGATGTTCATTCATATTTCATACATGCATTTTGAAAAATTTGAATATGTCTCGTATAAAATTAAACACATTAAAAACATTCTAAAAGGAAAATATCTCTATACCGTATACCATACCTTGATCGAGTCAGATTTAACCTACAATATATTAGCTGCTTAACTCATGTGTATGATTTGGACATTTTTCCAAAAACGATTCTGAAAACAATGTTTTGTTAACCAAAATTATATCCAACAACGTATATGACAAAACAGCTTCATGCTATCCCCAACTATCAAAAATTTATAAATAACGACCTAAAAATTAAACACAATCACCACACACCACGAAAAGCAACAGTTGTACCGAGACCAAATAAATCTATACCTTTATTTAGGACCAAAATTATACGTTGCAACCCTATGAATGTACTAGTCTTTGTATAAAACGAAATAAAATATAGGAAGATACTCAAAAAACGAGACGGTGGACTTTCTTCAAATTTTTTTAATTTCTCGGTATTAAGTTCTTCATTATAGTCCATATAAATGTCATAGGAATTATCTTAGTAACGACACGTTCGATTATGCAAATTTAATGAGTCAATAAAACGCTGCACATATTTCAATAAAAATTTAAGCTACTCCCGGAAGCCGGAAGGTCTCCGAAGGAAGTCTGCAAGACTGGTATACGGTTACTGGAATAGGCTCTGGCGCCGAGGTCTTTGAGTTTAGAACTAGGCTCCCACTACCTTCCAGTTGGAAATTATGCGATTCTGGCTTGTGTATTCCGCACTTTCTAGAGCGAAAGGCCTAGTAGAAGAATAACAATGTTCTCCGACAGCCAGGCTGCTAAAAAGATTACTTCTTAGAGCCTTGTACTGGAATAAAGGGAAATGATATGATGGAGGCTCTCGGGAAAGCAGGATCAGCGGGCAAGTTTGTTGATCATGAGCCAGCGCTAGGGATGCCCGCACAAAGAGTCAGGTGGCTAACAGAGAAGTGGATTGCTGGACAACACTTTCTGAAATGGAGAAGTGTCTCCCCAACTAGCAAAGTAGTGGTATAAGCTTTTGGTAAAAGAACCGTTCAGCCATAAAAGCACTCTATTGTTGTTGCCTGAACACCAAAATGCTGGCTTAATGTTGTGTAGAATGCAAATTTGCTTTCTGCAACATATTTGCTCTAGAATCAGGTGTTTAAAATATTCTTATAGCATAGTTATACAACACCAAATTTTTAACTGTTGCATAAACGTTTATACAACTATTTTATACGGCATATTTGCAAGTTAGTCAAAATGGTTGTGTTGTGGCATAGATGGTAACGTTTATAAAATAAACCCGAGCCTTGTTGTTTTGCTGTGCAATTTACTACCTTAGGCAACAAATTGCTCCCAACGGAAGCACTTATACAACTGTTGTTTAGTAACTGTTAAAGGCTGTACATATGCTAAATATGTTGGTAAACAACTTCACCATAACCTAACTTTCTGCTGTCATATTTTTGTTAAAATGCCATAACCAATGTTTTAAGACAAACAACGCATGCATATTGGTTTAAAAGGTTTTATCAACTGTTCAAACAGAAGATATAGATCTGGTACAAATTCTAGGTAAATCATTCGACTCTGTCGGTATTTCATTTCAGACATTTGTCAAATTGTTGAATAACAGCTGCAGGCAACACCAAAATATTCTAATAACCTAAAGACAACATGGACGATGCCATGATTGTACACAACCACCCGCCATATTGGGCAAACATTTATTCCTCTATTTAATATTAAATAATTATGTTTCACTTCGAAATTACAGATATAAAGTGATTAGAATTAGTGTAATTGTGTCTAAATATAGGATTTGAGGAAGATTTAACGAAGATAAGTTCAGTTTTCCATCTTAAAAGTCTAGACATACTTTTGATCATTATCAAAATATGAATCAAATACGAAGCACGTAGAAATTGTGTAACTACTTTCCACGATAATCACAATAAAATTTGCTGCGCAAGTAATTCAATAGCCCTATATCACAGTGCAGAAGTTTATCCTATACCTGTGTATCAAATTCACAATGGCCGATATGTAAGTAAACAAGATGACTGTAATGTGTTAGTTATATATTCTTCACTTCGTCTATACAATACATTGGAAATAGTTTGGTAGCAATAAAGTAGAATCACGTAACAAAATAGTTGTATAGTTGACAAAAACTGAATCTTGCACTGACGCAAATGTCCTATAGCGGCTGCAAGAGCACCTTTGTTATATAACTGTTACCTGCAGCCCTTATACAACCTCTTCAATGACTGAAGTGTCCTATTAGGTGTGCCCATTCCGCTTCTATAGCTGTTCTAAGAGGGTTTTGCCAATGTTCTTACAGTATACAATGCTGTTTAAGGAATACTGTATAATCATTCTTGCAACTCTAATAGGAGTGATAATTGTTAGTTGGGTCTAGACATCTCCGCTCGTCACGTGAGCTCGTCGTAGAGCCCAGAGTTAAGGGTGGACGCTTTTGCTTATCTTTGGATAGAGCCAACCTCAGGTTGCTGATGGGATTACGTTCTGGCTGAGGATCCCATGAGTGATCGCTGCGGGATAGAGGAAGACTCTTCTGCTCGTGTTCTGTGTCGCTGTCAGACTCTGAACTACTACGGGCAGACTATACTGGAGTCCAATTCTTTGGATCCCCAAAATGTTAAGAATTTAGAGCTATACTCAGCTCCGCTTTCTAGCGGCGGACCTTGAGGCTTAGGGAATGTAGTGATGCATACGGGCCATGCGTCGGGTCGGCTCTTCGTGGTGGCCGGTGTGCCTCTAATTTCATTTATTATTCATTCATTCAAGCCACTCCCATAGTGCGATCAGATGGAAGTACTACCACCATGAAAAATTGCAGTAATCTATCCATGATTAAACGGAACATTTATTCTAGCCGAACACTATCAAGCGTTTTCCCGATTTTCCTATACACCATCGACCTGCTCGCCCGCCTTCGTGTGGCTATCGGCAAATCCATCAAGCCAGCTACGACCGGCGACGTAGAAGCGGTAGCGGGCGCTAACCGAGACATTTGCCACAGACAGGTGGCCTCCCACGGCCCCACGCCCCCGATCAAAACCCTAACAACCCCCAACCGACTCTCGGCGCCCCCCTCGGAACGTGCCACGTGACGCTAGAGTTGCCTGTCGGCAGTCACTGCGGAAGCACGGGAATGTACGAGGGATGCCGCATTAGAAAAAATAGAGATAAGTTGGTTGACTCTGACCTTTCCACGCAACGCTATCATCAGTTCATAAAACATTATGTTCGGGACAAGTTAGCCTCCCTGAGAAAAAAATATCTACTAACATGTACAGGGTGTCCCAACCGTGCGAGGTCGGAGTATTGCTCCTAAGCAAAATTTATTCAAAGAAAAATATTATAGATTATTCTACAGGGATTATTGAAATGGGTAATAGGGTGGATCAAAACAAGTCAAAAAGTTCATATGACCCATGGTCCAAAAGTCAATTGATTTTTGTCTAAATGCCTTTATAGTTTACAACTTTAAGTGATTTATATCGACCATAATCACCACAATCTTACTAATTTTTATAATCTAATCTAAAACGACTTTAAATTGGGTAATTAAATATTTAAAACAGACATGACAACAACGCGTCGGTGTTTCATCTCTCTTATCGAACCGGTAATCGATCGCAAACGGTAACAGTGGTTAGTTATCGTTTTGCATAGATAAATTACTTTATCGTTTTGTCGAGCGGAGCATCGGGCGTGTTGTTTTGTTTTTGTTCGCGTACATCGTCATGTTTATTTACAATGTTCTCGAATCAAGAGTTGAGTTGAGACATGTTGTTAGTTTACGGTGAAGCTCGTCAGAATGCAAATCTTGCAGCTCAAACTTATCGCGACAGATTTCGCCAACGGGTACACCCAGACAGAAGGACATTTGTGCAAGTGTACCAAAGACTTCGAGATACAGGAAGTTTTCACTAATATTCGCACTCGTGAAAGACAGGTTACCGTAGAGCAGGAGGAACAAATTTTAAATATCGTGGAAATCAATGCAGATATCAGCACTCGGGAATTAGACCGCCGCGTAGGATTATCGCATACGGGAAAATTTGCTTTATCCCTACCATGTAAAACGAGTGCAGGCCTTGTTACCAGAAGACTATCCTCGCAGACTAACATTCTGTCAGAGGTTTTTGCACAAAAACATTGAAAATCCGGATTTTTTTAAAAACATTCTAGCGACTGGCGAATGTATTGGTTGTCGGAAAAGTCATGACGCTTTTTTTTTGTTTATTTTAAGGCCATTTTATTCATATACAGCACAAACTTCAATCAATAATGTATTGCCCATTTTGATCGATGACCTTTCGCCATCTTTCAGGCAGCTTCATAATTCCTCGCTCGTAGAAGGATTTGTCTTTACCGGCAAAAAATTGAACAAGGTGCTGATGTACAGCTTCATCTGCAGTAAAGCGTATTTCTCGCAAAGAATTTTGAAGCGACCGAAACAAATGAAAATCAGATGGGGCAAGATCAGGCGAGTATGCTGGATGTGGTAACACATCCCATCCTAACTCCAATAACTTTTGACGAGTGAGCAAACTTGTGTGCGGTCTCGCGTTGTCATGGTGGAACACAACTCCTTTGCGATTAATGAGCTCCGGACGTTTTTGCATGATGGATTGTTGCAAACTGTCCAATTGCCGACAATACATAGCTGTATCGATGGTTTGGTTCTTTGGCAGGAGTTCGAAAAACACGATCCCTTTAAAATCCCACCAAACAGAGAGCATCACCTTTTCCTGATGACTCTCTGCTTTCGCGATCGTGTTACGCGTATCTACACTTCGGGACCAAGACCGTTTGCGAACCACATTGTTGTAAACAATCCACTTTTCATCTCCCGTTATCAAGCGCTTTAAGAAAGGATCGTTTTCCTCACGTTTAAGGAGCATATCGCAGATGTCTACACGCGCCGTCAAATGAACCTCTCTCAGTTCGTGTGGTACCCAACGATCGAGTTTGCTTACGTATCCCAGTTTCTTCAAATGGTCGTGAACGGTTGAATGATGGATTTTTAAGGTTTCTGCAATTTCCCGTGTGGTGTAATGTGGGTTTGCTCCTACCAATGCCTTTAATTCGTCACTATCCAACTCAGTAGGCCGCCCTGATCGAGGTGCGTCATGGATATCAAAATCCCCATCTCGGAATTTTTTAAACCATCTCTGGCATTGCCGTTCTTGTAGTGCATGTTCTCCATAAACCTTTCTCAACTTTTCACACGCTTGTCTTGCGTTCTTGCCTTTGCGGAAGTAATACAGCAAAATGTGACGAAAATGCAGTTTGGTCGTCCATCTTCAACGTCCTCTAAAATCGACGAGACTCAAATAAATCACTTAATTTTTTGGTGCAAATGAAGCTTGAAGTGTCAACTGTCAAACTACACAATCAACATACAAATGTCATTTACTCACGTACTTCCAACCATGCAATTGCATACTTTGTTGCATATACGTCATGACTTTTCCGACAACCAATACATTTACGCGGGACGGGATATTAAATTTCCATAATTCTCGCACATGGCCCCAAGAAAATCCTCATACCATTCGTGAAGGTCATTTCCAACAACGTTTTAAAATAAATATTTGGGCGGGTATTCTTGACGATCATGTAATTGGCCCTTTCGAGTTACCCCCAAAGTTGTCAGGAGAAGGATACCTTGGCTTTCTAGCCAATAACCTACCAGAACTTTTGGAACACACCTTAGACACCATGCCATTACAACGGAGACAGAACTTGTGGTTTCTTCATGACGGGGCACCACCACACATTTTTAGAGGTGTCGTTCAGTATTTGAATGAACAGTATCCAAATCGCTGGATCGGTCGAAATGCTCCTGATCTTCGAAATTTGCCAGCAAGATCTCATGACCTCAATCCGATGGATTTCTGGTATTGGGGAGAACTTAAAGAGATGGTTTATGGGGCTGGTCCAATAACAACTGAATCACAACTTCGCGAAAAAAAATTAATGCTGCTGAAATAATAAATGGACAACTTCGAGGACCTAGAGTAAAAAGAAACTGGGTTCGTCGTAATGAAGCTTGTGTGGAAAGTGGAGGACGACATTTTGAACACCTTCTTTAAATACAAAGAAAGTGCAGTGTGGGTTTTAAAAAGAAAAACAATGTATGTATCAAAATTGTGTTCCCTATTTATAAGTGGATTTTTTAATACGTTCAATAAAATTTCACACACCAGTTGAAGCGCTGAGACAGTTAGTGGTAAGTCCGTTTTTTTAATTGTTTGCATTTTACGAGTACATTATCAAATAATGAAATAATATCTAAGAGCCAAAAATAACAAACTCCATCTTTATTTACACTGCGTTCCGACGTAATTTGCGTCTGGCATTGCGGCGTTGTCAGATTTTATTTTATTTTAAAGTCGCTTTTCTCTAAAAAATGCCGTTTTGACCGTCATGTTATATGAAACTTTTTGCTTATTTTAATCCCCTCTATCACCCATTTAAATAATGACTATCATAACGTTTATGGTCTCTGGAGGCATATTTCTGAAATATTCGCAATTATACAGGCTTTCCCAAATTTAAACCACATATCATAGTTGATTTTTTTTAATCGAACATCCCATTTTTTATTAAACATTCAGATAGGCCCTTTTAAAGGAAGTGTATTGATATAACATACTTATGGACTCTGATAATTAATTGTTGAGATATTGGGTATCTAAAAATGACGTCTTTAAATCAACAACTAACATTTAAAATATTTGCACTACTATAGAAAATGTGTTCTTTTTACTTTTTGTCCGTAGTGCCGCCGACACTTCAATTTTCAAAATCTTTGACTACCTAAACGATGAAAGTAGTAAACTCGCGATTATATTCGGTCTTCAGTTCACAAGTTTTCTGTTGCTTAAAGGTTTCTGAATCACATAAGTCCCCGTTTCTCATTTATGTCGGTTTGTCAATGCGTCAAGAGTGCTGAGCCATCAACGGAGTAACACATAAAGGCGGAATGGGTGGAAATTCAGAAAAATGTATGTGTAGATATAAACAGTTAAGCCATAAAATATTCCCACAATTTACAGGGTGGCCCACCCGTGTGTGGACAAAATATTACCCATAAACAAATACATTTTGGGAAAATCTATTTATGGGATGTTATACATGACATTTGAGGACACATTTCTAAAATATTGGCTAGTATACAGGGTGTACCAATTTTGACCTACATATCAAAGATGTGATTTTTCAATCGGAATGCCTCAAATTTTATTGCATATTTGGATAAACCAATTCAACAAAAAAAACTGATTCATACTGTGGGGTTTTGGTAATTAGCTACTGAGATATAAGGTGTGTTGTCCAGAAAAACCCCCCATTTCGGCAACCCCTCAGTCCGCCATTTTGAAATTTGGAGAGCTGAATTTTGTATCAAAAAAAACTTTCACACCTCAGCGTTTATCTTATTGGTTACTTTTTCGAATTTTAGTTTTTGCTCATACAGGGTGGTCGAAAACGCAAATTGTAGTTTTTCTCAAAAATTTCAAATGCATCGCCCTGAATATTTGTGCAGCTTTGGATGCAATTTCATATAAACTTTTTTTTATACTAGACCCATAAGGATTTTTACGGCTATTTTTTCGGTTATTAGCACGTCTTTTGTGGAACGGCTTAATTCCCTAAAATATCGCATCATCCTTGGAAACAAATAAATTGTTGATTAGTTACAAACTGTCAAAATTAGCTTTGTGAGCATTATAATAAAAACGTGTTTGAAAATGAATTTTTCTGAAGAAGAAATGGTGAATATGGTGTTCGTTTTGGGCGAAACCGAAAGAAATAGTTTTCTATCATCTCGCATTTATAAGCAACGGTACCATAATATGCAACATCCAAGGCCGGAAATATTTTTCACACTACGAGAGCATTTTGAATCAAGTGGAGCAGTGGAATATAGTAAAAAATGAATAAATAATCCAAGTGTCACCAATGAGGCGAATCAGCTGGAGGTTCTATTAAAGTTGCAGGAAAATCCCCATTTAAGTGCACGGCAAATTGGAGCAGAAACTGATACATGCAGAACTTCTGTCCAAAGGATTATTCACAAGCATAGGTACCATCTATA